AGAAGAAGGCGAGCTCAGTGGTTTTGCCTGAAGTTCCTTCCTCTTGCCAAGATTCTCATCCTCCTCAAAACGCATTCGCAGTTTGAAATAAAGTCATAAATCTTTAATTTGCTGCTTATTTTAACCCTGCATCACCAATTACTGTTTTTGAGTGGGCTCTTCATGAAATTTTGTTGACGTATACCAAGTGCACATCACGACTTTGGTTATGTCTTCTCAGCAAGGAATACAAGGAAGTGATAAAGCATTCTTTTTTTACCTCGCGATTCTTAATTTATTGCTGTCAAGATTAAAACACATTCAAGTCTTTAATAGGCAAGAGTCAGGTGATACCAAGCTTTTTTGAGCCACGTAACTCAATCTTTTAAACATTTATCGCGTGCTACATGAATTTCTTTTGGATATTAACTGTAATGAAATATCTGAAAATATTACATAAACAATTTTTTTATAATTAGATTAAACCGACATGAGACAATTATCTGGACGTTTGCTGTTATGTTTGCTGAACCAATGAGGGCGAAGTCCGAAGTCCCTTCTATATTTGATGATGTTCTCAAAGTGCAGTCCGGCTCACTACTTGTAAATTTTTTATACTCATGCGCCAGATCGCAAGGTATCCACGTGCTAATGAAATCAAATCTTGACCCATGGTACCACCCACTTCTGATGCATTCCTTGGTAATGTGCTCCGTTTCCCTTTCAAATAATTGTAACTCCTGAGTAATTTGTTGTGGATATTTCTAAATCGCGTAAAATCGTTTTTGCAGGGAAAGAAATTCCATAAAGAGATGTTTTTTGAAACAGAAATTATGTATGACATTTCCCTGTCTATTATAGACAAAAATTGCTTCCGTTAGTTTACAACTGAGCCCCTAATTCGAGTGGAAAAGATGCCTCTGTCGTATTAATCTTGACGAAACGTCGGGAATTTATAACTTTGTTCAAAATGATTTCCTCGTGATCGGATTTTGATATTTGGAAAGGAAGTTTTACAAGGATTCGAAAAACCGTCAAATGTTCAGAAATTACTTTCACTTAAAGGATTTTCATTTGGTCGCCGGTACGTCGGAATAATTTGATAAAAACCCTTTTTTGGTGGTTTTTCGAATCCTTATAAAATTTCCTTTTCAAATATCAAAACCTGATCACTTGAAAATTTGAACAAAGCTATGGATTCCCGACGGTTTCTTCAAGATTAATACGTCGAAAACCGTCTTTGCCACCCCAATTAGGGGCTTAATTCTATAGCAGCAATCCAAGAGCTCAAATTCAAACAGAATCTATTTAAAAAAATTTTTCTCAGAATGCTTTCAAGCTGAAATCAAAATCACACTGCTAATTAAGACCATAACACTTCAAAAACCTTATCTACAAATACGAAAACAACCCCACTTTGAACCCAAAAATATACCTTTATTGCTCAAAACCACGTAAACTTGCTGTGGATAGTATAATTTTTCCCATTTAATGAAAAACAAATTCGACAACTCTATCTTCGACAAGTAATTTTACTATCCATTGATTTATATTATGGTGCTTTGCGCTATTCTACTTTACATGGATTCATTTCTTAGAAAAATGATGCTGCTCAAGACTTTATGGCTTCTCATGATTTCATTCTCTAGAAGAAATTATTTTTAGTTAAAGCGCTCTGTGGCTGCTTGCTAATTCTGTTCAGAAGCAGATTTTGGTCGAAATCCACAAGTGCTTAGATTTCGCATTTACTGACGTAGGAAGCCATAGGTATTGTGTGAATAATTGCTCGAAGCCTTCCGAGGCCAATCGCAACATTCCTAAAATAATTTACGAGCACATTTTGCAACAGGTCTCCCTTGGCTTATATTTGCAAATGGCATAGCTCAAATAGTTTTGTTGGTTCACGAATGGAAGCTTCCGGAATTATTCTGAAAACCAATAAATGATAGTAGCCGATTTTAACCACAGAAATTAAGGGTACTGCTTGATCTAGCACGATCGAAATGTAAAAACCTATGTTTTTTGGAAAAATATGCTAAACTTAGAAAAGCCCATTTTTTTCATTACAAGATTAAAGAAGATAATTTTTTGAAAATGGACAGCAGAGTTAAAATTGTAGTAGAATAACGTTTAGTGGAAGCGGCCAGAATGATTTAGTTTGAAATCCTCTACCGAGTTTGGAAACGGGCCAAACGAATAAATCAACCCAGTGATAAGGATTTTGTACACATTGGCTTTTCGTTTTCCACACCAAAACCCCACTTTTGACCATATTCTCAATTCTTCTCGCATTATATCACAACGAACATATTTTGAAGGAAGCCCACTATAACCCTCGCATTATGGGCACAACTTTCCAGAATTTTAGCCCACTTCACAGCTAGAGATTCCTTGCTTAGTCAAGAGGCTGTATTCTTATAATTCTTCTTCGTTGTATATTCTTCTTCCATTAACGTTGGTCACCCTCATTCTGAACTTTTCCTTTATAAAAGTGCAAAGTCAGAAAGAAGCCTTCCTGATCTACTTGCTAGGGTTTACAATTAGAATATGGATGAGGAAGTGACTATATTTAGCGCTAAACTAACATGAAGCACTTAGACTGAGTGATCCGATTTGGTCTCAGATCCAAGACTTCTTATCAAATCATGAAACCTAACACGGCCCAGTTCTTTGTCGGATGTTAGCTATGCAAAGTCATTAAAACAAAGGCTTTAATTTTTGTCATACTTTTAAACCAGGATAAGTTTACAAAAACATGATTACATCAAATTTTTTATATGCTCATGTATTCTATAGAGTTCAGGAAGACAAAACTGTAGTTCATTTTTTGAAACTGCTACAAAATTGGTTTCGAGACCGCTATCTCAGACAATTCACCGCAACTACCACAGGGCAAGCAAAATTTGCAGCGGTTCCGCAGGAATTTCGTTTAATATTGCGAAAGTGGAAACGTTGAAAATAGGAACTCCCACAGAATTTTCACGTTAGACTGGTTGAAAACAGGAACTTCCGTAGGGTTTTATACAAAGCGGTGCGGAACTTCCGAGAAATGCCAGCGGTTCCGCAGCACTTTGACATGCCAGTACTTCCGCAGGGTTCTGAATGTGTTGTCTAATATGATGTTGCCTCGCCAACAACTAGAGTGCATTATCGAACATGTCAAGTAGTGCAGAAGATAGTAGGTGACTCTCACAGTCAATAGAGGTAAGTCCATCTCGCATCGGTGTTCTCTTTTGCTGTTGTAGTTAGCATTCTTCGGATTTTCCGCAGCACCTCATTCGGAAACTTCCGCAGCACGTTTACGGAACTTCCGCAGGTGACACGGCGGAACTTCCCCAAACGTTCTGCGGAAGTTCCGGCCAGATGTCTGAGATGATGAGAGTGTACCCTCTCTCAACTGCCGGAACTTCCGTAGCACTTTCGCAGCATTTCTACCGGCACCTACTGAAATCCTGCAAAAGTGCTTTCAATCGCTTTGATGTCAATTTTCTGCGGAATCCCCGCTTTTTGGAGCGTGCACCTTCTTATTGGTTAAGAAAGTGCTGCGGAACCGCTGCAAATTGTGCTTGTCCTGCGGAAGTTCCGGTGAATCGTTCGGCTCCCGCCAGAGTGCCGAAGTTATGCCAGCGCTACGCCAGCATTTCGATCGATACACGTGTATTTCGTTAGCCCTCAGCTAGCCCCGCCCCAACGAAATACACGTGTATCGATCGAAATGCTGGCGTAGCGCTGGCATAACTTCGGCACTCTGGCGGGAGCCTCCGAGTCTGTTTGACAGTTGGTAATGGTAATCTTGGTTCACGAGTCGCCAGAACCCATTTAGATGGACTCACTTCGTCCAAATACTTCATTTCGTTTGCTTTATGAAAAGAGGATTGAATAGAAGTTTCATGAATTATATGTCTACTCATTATTTTTACTCGTTTATAAAGAATATTACCTTTTTATGCCCTGAAACCTGTGAAATATTGGAGCAAAGACTTATTCAAAAAATCGTACATTTAATACTTACACTTGAAGCCAGCTGTCACTTGTCTATCACCTCTCAACTGATTATATCACCAAAAATTCAAACACTACAGGAACGCTTAGATCAAAGTTCCTTTCAACAAACAATTTTTTGAGTATTCTTAGAATGCCTAGAAACTCTTCGTCTAAAAATCTGAAATATCTCAAAATTGGATATAAGCTGTTTAATCAGCGCACTGAACTCCCCCTCTCAATTATGAGACATTTCTTCTGCCATTCGATCCTGCACTCAAAAAAAAGCACCGAGTTCTTTAATAATAGAAACATTCAGAACTTATTCGAACGTCATGTACTATTAATACATAGCCAAAACCAGCTGAAGTATCATATTGCAAAATTTATCTCGGAATTCCGTGACATAGCTAAAGTAATCATGTTACTTGCATTTGATAAGTCTCTAATGACAGGAAGGCTCGCCTTTAAAGATCAAACTTTAACAGCTGCAAATTGTTGTGACTTTGCCCTTCCTTTATTAAGTCTTCACAGGAACTTCTTCTTGCGTAATAGACGATTTTTCTGAATATACGCCTATTTTTAGTATTCTAATAGGATAGCGTACTCATAGCTCCTCTTCTCTAAGTATATCTCATGCTTGTTCTTTAATTCGTTCGTGATAAAACTTCATTAAATAACTCTCCAAATGACAGATGCACTCTTAACAAGCATTCTTGCGAGTTTCCTAGAATTGCCAACCAAAAATTATGTACCCATATTTTTTAAAGTAAACATCCGGTCTGTGAATTCAGTTGAGCGTAGCTGTATAACAACTTCCTTCATCAAAATCATAACTTTCGAGCTATTTACCTAGCATAAATACTACATCTATTATGCCCTAATTTGCATGTGTCGTGCCTCAATTAGAGAAATTGTTCTACACGAAGCCATATATGCACTTTTTCTCCAGTTCTTATGCTTACGTACAAACACGTAATTTTCCAGCTTCTTGTTCTTCTTTTTGATTACAGCAATTCAAACACTATCTAGGCGCAATTATGTTTGTAATAGTCAGTATAACTAGTGCATCGCATTAATTCTATTCCTGCGGCTCTGTCCTTGCTACTCTTAACTTTAATTTCAGGTACCTCCACAAATGAACGCAATCGTTAGCACTACCGTTTTAGTAATTTGTCTCTTACCAGCCTTCTCTCTTGCAGAGTAAGTTGAACGTTTTCAGTAATATAAATGACTGACCTGGTCAAATTGTCGGCGTCTTACTCTCAGACACTATCGGAAAAGATTTAGGTCAGAATCTTTACATAGGTTGGCAACAATGGCGGTCCCAGAATTTCCGTCCTGGGAGGGGAGGCAAAAATTTTTTCCAAATGAAGATGGATGGCGTTAGTTACGCCTTCTGAAAAAAATTTTGGGTGATTCTCCAAATTTTTGCGGGCCCATAACCCATAAAGTCCAGAAAAAGGGGGCGCGGCGACAGCTACACCCCGAAATTTCTTTTAAAAGGTTAAATCAAATTTTCAAAAAACTTTAAAAAGTATTTCAATTATTATAAGAATAAACAAGACATTTGCACATTTTTACAATCCATGTATGTACATGTCAAAAACTGCGCGACCCTTTCTCGGGGTAGGGGGGGGGGGCTTTTAGTCCGCCACTTAGCAAATAAATATCAAAGATAGACTACTTAAGAGCCAGTCTAGTGCCCTAGCGGTGCCGACAGCATTTGCGCGTGAGGGGACAAGCCAAAACATAATTTGTGTTTTACGCTTAGACGTCGGCATTCGTTTACGAGCAAGTGTTGCTGACACCGCAAAGCTACTACCATGACTGTCAATTTACTAAGCTGTATGTAGCCAGTTGGTTGACTGAAAACAAAAGAGTTGGAAGCTTTTCTTTAAATCATTAATATGAGCCGCGAAAAATCACCCCAATATTTTCTTTTTCAGCTCTGGTGAGATTACACCCAGACCACTTTCTGCCGTCAAACGATTGGGACTCGCCACGCATGTTTCGGCAAAAAATCCAAAGTAATATTTTTTGTTGTGTAGAAATTCTGCGGATATGCATTTCAGTTTTTTGAGGTATTTTGGCACGAACGATGAGCTGGAGGCTATTTGGAATAAAGCGATACAAGGAGCTCAGTGAGTAATGCTGTTTTTTTTTGTTCTTGTTGTTGTGTGACTTTAAACGAAAGTTTTTTGACAAAATGGTTCTTAGGGAAATTTGTGTAATTCAGAATACGACTCTGAAACTTTTACTTTGTTTATTATTGTTTTCGAATCCAAGGAAATTAGTTACCTAAGCAGATATAATATTGTTATTGAATTTAAAAAAAAATTAACACAAAAAAGAGCACCTGGTTCGATGCTTTTTCAACAACATTAAGAATTAATTTAGATGATATAACAAACAAGTTTTTGCCCTTGCTTATAACTTCTCATCAAATGATAGCAAAAACATTTAAACAGCTTAAGGCTTGACAAAGCACATGTTTCTCATTTGATCTGGGAAAAAACTAGGGAAAACTTCTTTGAAAAATCTCAAGAAAATGTAATCTTGAGCTGCATACTTACATATCATCAAGTACCGAAAATAGACACAGGTAAAGAAAATTCACGCAGAGTACAAATTTGTCTCGAATTACGAATTTGTCTCGAATATAGTTAGTCATATGAATTCTAGGAAAATGTATCAGAGGCCGGGTATACCCGTAATTAAATTCTAATATTAGTCCAAGGAAGTAATAAAAGAAAAGCAAAGGAAATGTGGAATTGAAACTTGGGTTTATAAAATGATGTTTTGAGATTTTGAAAATTTGACATGAAGTTGATGACGAACTCATGACCAGTAATAATTTGTTTTAATTTCGAAGAAAATCAACTTTGGACAGCTTTAGCATTTTTACACTTTCTTTGAATTTTCTTCCCCTTTCCGTGAATTGTAAAATTGCTCTTTCAGAATAATGGATGGGCTTGAGTCGAACAAAATCCCGAACTGCGCATTATTGCCAATGGGATGCAGAATTGGTGATCGGTCACCATTGTGGAGGAACAAGAACTTAAAGAAAAATCTGCTCAGTTGGAATTCATTCCTTAACTAAGTGGAAATAAAGCTCTGTTTGAGTTAGTTATTCTTGCAAGATTGAAAATTTAGATTTTTTCGTATCACTGTCATAAGTTACAACCATTATCGCAGTTCAAATCTCCATGAATAAAAGTTAGTTATTGTTAGACATAGTTTTTTATAATGCTTGATTGGCTTTTCCACTTACTTCCTCTAATCATTCTCTTCAAGAATCTGTTCAGAAAATCAGCTCTAAAAACACTAACAAAACCTAAGTCATGCTTGCTGATTGCAGAATTTACTTCTGTGCAGATGCACCTTTTTGTGCAAGAACGTACTTCAAAATACATTTATGAATTGAGCGTAATGACACCGTAATCATTCACCGACAATATACCTGCAAATACTCAACATAAAAATTGCAAAAGGTATTCAGACTGTGTAAGCCTGCAAACTGAATTACCCAAAGGGCACAACCATCGCTAAAGAGTCATACCAGTAAGCTTTGCATATGGTTTATGCCCTAGAAGTTTTCTCACTTTCCATCAATCAAAATTACAAAAGAAAACGGCTTTGAGAATATTCGATGCAGCTTTTCCTCTTTCTGGCAACACACTTTCAAGTATTTTCATAAATACTCTTCTCTACTAGAAACACACACATATGACTGGAAAAAACTGGCATAATTATTTCGCCTAATTTCCGCTAAAGTATTCTTCAACTATTTTCTGACAGCCTCTAGTTTTGATGTAGTATAAAGCATACACGAACAAGGTGTGCAATTTTGCAGAATAATTTGTTTCGATTTGTTCAACAAATTTTACAAAATAATCAAAATTAGCATGGAAGAAACGGGGAATGTTGGATATCAAGCTCTCTGTTATTATCGAGATTCTAGTTTGAAGGGGTAAAAATTGACAGCTGCAAAAACCCTTACGATATGAAACGAAAGTTTGGCTCTGTCTGTCAGCTAGTTGACCAAAGTGTCTAGCGCATTCAAAATTCAGGCATGATTGAGTTATCAATAAAGAAAAAGGAAAGCTGCATCGAATAAGAAAAAATATGCAACAAACTAAACTTATGCCGTTCATTAGTTGTTGCTGTGAGGGCAAGAAATCATAAAAAGTGAGAAAATTTCTAGGACAACTTCGTAGACGTTTTCAGGGACGATCCACCGCAATGACACACTTCTTATACCACCAGGAGCAAGAAAAATAGCAAACTATAATAAGCTGGATCACATAATAGCACAAGTGTGGCTGACATCAGAATTCTTTCGCTTGGCCACGACTGCACGACAAAGATGTTCGATGGCCTGCAACAACCTCATAGCTTTAAAATCCTTTATTTGCAAAATTACCCATTCTATTTTATAAATAAGAAAACTGCTTACTTCATAGACTCCACCATCTTGTGCTAGCAGACTGGCTTCCAAATAGTGAGCTCGAATATTACGAGCCGTCTTTTCACCCATTTCGCGAGTCACGTACCTTTGTGGAATGTCGTCAATCAAATTTGCAAGGAGAACACATGGTTTCTGGAATAAAAAAAAAGTATGCTATAGACATCTAGTAGGCTACTGTTTGAATTTGTTCTTCTTAGTTAATCTCGCCAAACCGGTAAGGATGCGATGAAACTTGGGCTGAAAAATGATTATTTCTTCTTCTGTACCAAAGACATACGTAATCTTTTCTTTCTTCATTTTCTATCATTTTAATTATTCCCACGGAGTGACAAGGACTCAGATTATTGGAAACTGCAAACAAAACTAAATAATACAGTGACCGCCAAGAAGTCGCTGACAAGCCGCCTTCTTTTTTTCATCGCTCGTTTTCGGATGGAAAACGAAGATGAAAAGAAGATTGAATTGCATGTGGTGATAGAGCTCACCAAGAGCTACAACTTACACATTGCGCTTTCCGGAAAATATGTATTATAAAAGTTTTAAAAATCTTTTTCTAAAAAAGTCCGAAAATGGCCGCGTCACAATGTCGCGGAATAATTCTTCGAACGCGAAAATTTTCTGTTAGGTCTTTTCTTGGAGCAAAACCAGAAGTTATCGGGACAGGTAAGCATACTATACTTGGGTAATTCGAAAATTTTTCATCGAATGAATGAATATCGAATAAATTCGGAAAGGAAAAATTTCGAATAAACGAATATCGAATAAATTCGAAAATAAAAAATCTCGAATAAACGAATATCGCATAAATTCGAGGTTCAAAAATTCTCGAATGAATGAATTCCGAATAAATTCGGAAAATCAAAAATATCGAATGAATGAATATCGATTATATTCGAACATTGGGAGTCGAATTTCGAATAAATATTCGAATGATTTATCGAATAACTAGAGCAACCAGTTCTCTAACTTGCTGACATATCTGGCTGAACCCGACAGTAACCTCATATCCCCTTTACCAACTCCTAGCTCAGAATTTTCCAAAAATCGCTGTAATCGAATTTTCTACCCCCTGTACCAACTCCCAACCTCGTAGCTCAAGATTTTCCGAAAATCGACAAAATCGATAAAGTAAGTTTTTATTCATATCGGCACCCTCATTTACCCCCTGTACCAACTCCCAGTCCCGCAGCTAGAATTTCTCCAAAAATCGATAAAGTAAGTTTTTATCCATAATCAGCACCCTCACTCACCCTTGTGTGGTACAAGCTAGTCGTGGACGAAGGCAAGTGGTTTATTCCGCGAACCGAACACGAATGCCCCTATAGCCCCGGGCATACTGCAAGCATTTCAGTGGCGATGTGGTTTGGCATTAGTCAGCGTCCAAAACGTATTCTAAAAGTACAGAATGCACGGCATTTATCTTTTTAGTAAGTTGTACGCGCTAAACATTTTAGGTAAGCTGGCGTTATATTTGAAGATATCTCGTAACTGGCAAATCGCGCATGGCGATCTAAATCGTCTAATCTTCCACTACAACTGTGATGTCTACTCATAATACACCAATTTGCAAAAAATCTCTAAGGTATATAGCGAATAGAGGCAGCCGTGCAACATAACTTATGCGAGCAAGAGTGCTCATAGTGTGGTATTTGCGTACCACAAGCATGAGCAATGCAAAGAGAGAAAAACTGGCATTTCAAAACACTTTCGATTTATGAAACAAACATGAGCTTGAATTTGATAGCTTCTTTGCTGACTTGGTGCCAACAGCAGTGCGAACAATCTCATTGATCGAAAAACCATCAATTAAAGGCGCTATTCGGCTACCCGGGCCCCAAAATTTTTTAGTCATAGATTTCGCTCAAACTTGGTCCAGGGGGGTTATCTGACATGCTGATCATGAATATCACCTTTTCTCCGCAGGAAAACGCCTCCCTGCAGGGTTACGGTAGGATTACGTTAGGGGATCAACACGATTTGCCCGAAACTTGACCCAGAGGGGTTATTCGGCCCGCTCATGCTGACTATCATATTGGTTTTGTACCGTACCGTCATTTTCTCGGGTTACGGTGGGTATACGGTAGGGGATCAAAACCTCAAAATCCGCTGTAACTTTACACAGAGGGGTGACATGCTGATCAGAAATGTCAAACTTTCTCCGCACGAGAACATCTCCCTGCATGGTTACGTTAGGTTTACGGCAGGGGTCAAAATCACAAATTGGCAAATGTCTGCTTCCCCTGTGCTTTGCTTAGGCAAAAGCCGCAACAAGATATGTAGCGCGCGACGGTGGTCGTGTGTGCAAAGCTTCACGATCGTCCGAATCGCCGTACACCCGTTTCAGGCAGAACTATGTTTTACACACGCTACCGTGTAGCAACTGTAACCCGAGAAAATGGCGCTTCGGTTCAAAACCAATGTGATATTTGGCATCAGCGGGCCGAATAACCCTTCTGGGCCAAGTTTCGGGCAAATCCATGACAAAGAAATTTTGGGGCCCGGATAGCTTTAGCGAACAATTAAAATCCACATATGATTTTTCTCCTGTCAAGCAGTCGGAAGAATGCGACCCTCCACATTTCAGAGGTCATAACGGTTGCAAAAGATGCATTACCGAGTTTTGCGAAAAAAAAACACGGACGAAGTGAGCTTGATACTCAGCAGTTGGCTCTGCAACAAAGTCGAATAATTTGAATACGGAGTTCATTCGAGTAAGAATTCGAATAAACATTCGAATAAAATCTATTCGAAACCCAGTTTTTTGATTATTCGAGTTTTCGAATAATATTCGCCTCGTTTTTTGATTATTCGAGTTTCGAATTATATTCGAACCCCCGTTTTCTCAATTATTCGAGTTTCGAATATTATTCGAAAATGGAAGAACTCCGAATATCGAATTTCGAATACGAATATATTCGAATGTTTTATTCAAATGATCGAATTTCTATTCGATTCGGACCCAAGTATAAAGCATACTATATCGTAGAGCTCATCGAGGGCAATAATTGGGTAATGGTTCCTTCCAAAAAAAAAACCCAAGCTTGAATTTTGTTTTGCTTTTTTTCAAAAAATAACTTTTGATTCCCTTCTTCAAGCCAAATTTCTTCACATGGAAATCTATTCAAGGCATTCCAGCAAGGCTGTTAGGATAAAATAGATGCTCTTTGCCATCCTCTGTGCATCGGACGTGTACTGGTGAGCTTCTTTGTTGAAAATGACTCTTGACAATTCGTGCACATGTCCCCACCTGCACTTCACCGCTGACTTGCACCGCTTTGCGGGCTTGTAGCACGGCCGGCAGTCATTTCACGAGCCTGCAAGTAGGCTCATTCGAAAGAGCGTGACTTCCTGGACACGAATGTATGCAAAAAAGTTGGGTATGAGAAACAGCAGAGATTTGGCGGATGGGGTAACAAAGCGCAGCTTCAGTGGTAGGCCAAGGATTTTTCAGTTAAAGTTGAGCAAAGCCTCTTTCGCCACCAGTTTCATCCTGGAAGTTCAAAACCGTCAATTTTCTTGTAATAGATCCATTTCGGAGCTCTAAGACAGTTCTAGTGTTGATAAGAGCCTTCACTCCATTCACCTCTAAGGCTGCGCTTTGTCACCCCATCCGCCAAATCTCTGCGTTTCTCTTACCCAACTCTTTTGCATACCTTCGTGTCTAGGAAGTCACGCTCTTTCGAATGAGCCTACTTGCAGGCTCGTGAAATGACTGCCGGCGGTGCTACAAGCCCGCAAAGCGGTGCAAGTAGTGGTGAGGTACAGGTGGAGTCAGGTGCCCACACTGTCAAAAGCCATTTTCAACAAAGAAGCTCACCAGTACTCGTCCGATGCACAGAGGATGGCAAAGAGCATCCATTTTATCCGAACAGCTTTGTTAGAATGCCTTGAATAGATTTCCATGTGAAGAAATTTGGCTTGAAGAAGGGAATCAAAAATTATTTTTTGAAAAAAAGCAAAACAAAATTCAAGCTTGGGTTTTTTTGGAAGGAACCACTACCCGATTATTGCCCTCGATGAGCTCTACAAATACAGTACGCTTATCTGTCCGGATAACTTCTGGTTTTGTTCCAAGAAAAGACTTAACAGAAAATTTTCGCGTTCGAAGAATTATCAGCGACATTGTGACGCGGCCATTTTCGGACTTTTTTTAGAAAAATATTTTTAAAACTTTTATGATACATGTTTTCCAGAAAGCGCAATTTGTGGGTTGTACCTCTTGGTGAGCTCTATCACCATATGCAACCAGTCATTTTTTCATCTTCGTTTTCCATCCGAAAATGAGCGATGAGGAAAGGAAGACGGCTTGTCCGCAACTTTTTGGCGATCACTGTATGTACAAAAAATCATGGAACCAATATAGATGTAATGCCGCTACTTGTGCTACCGAATAATTATAAAACGAGGCCCTGAAATTTCTTCAGAAGGCTACCTTTGAATCGCTTACGCCAGCAAGCTGTCGATTTATGGACATAGCCATGAGCAGACTTCCAGAATCTGCTGTGGAGAAAACAATTATAGCTGCATCAGCCGCTCGCATATAAGATGTATGGGTTATAGAATGATCATCCTGAAAGACTTCGCTCAACGTAAGTAAAAATTCATCATAATTTTGCACCTCAAATTCAGCGTCGATGAGATCAACCATGAAATGGTGGTGCCGTGCTCGGACAGTCTAAGAATTTTGGCAGCCTTTCCGTACTGTTCAAGTGGGCCAAATTTTTTTTTAAAATAAAAAGTGACAAACCATGCTAGTCATATGGGCAAATCTATATTCATTATGATTTTGCCTGCCTCCTAAACGCATACGTTCTGTCAAACCTATCGGTGAAACATTTTGTCGACCTTCACATGAAAGAGTAGCATTGTCGAGCTGTATAATGCGATTATTTATTTTGCAAAAATATTAATGAAAATGACTTTTCTAGACAGAAACCCTACCAGAGAAGTTTTTCCAACACCTCGTGCACCAAAAACAGCAATCGCAATTTCCTCGCCCGGATTTATACGCTCAAATGTTCGTCCAAATCCCGAATAGACACACAGTGGCCCATAAGGAGACAATTCGCTGTGATCATTTGAGGGATGGACTGAAATGGAATGTTTTTTCTAGCAAAGAAAAAGATTTTGACAACCTTTCCTGAGCCGGAATGGGAAAAATCGCTTCCATTTTGATTTCTTAGGCTTCGTTACATCTAAAAGACAATTTTCAAGAGCGTCGATCAAACCAATAGAGACAAAACATACTTTCAATAGGTGCAGATGAAATCGAGGTCTGAGCGAGATTTGATGCTTCTGCTTCATCGGTAACAAAACCTTCGTTGTCTATACCAGTTCCAGAGCATGGAATTGCTAAAGATCTATGCGTCACAATGATTTCAGCACTTTATGGTAGACAAGAATAAATGATTGGAAATACCACTATCACGTTTGCGATGTCGTCGACTCACAGATTTACGAATTGCGCAGATGCTACGCCTCAGCAAAGATGCTCTCTGAAATCATTTTAGAGAATATTTACAGATTCTTAAGAGTTTGCTGTCAAAAAAAGTGCAAAGCCAGTCACTATTTTTGGAATTAAGTACACCGTACTCATCAATCTCTTAGGCCCAAGGCATAGCTCACGCGATTTCAGTCGCCACGAGATCTGGCAATTTGCCAGATGTCTTCAAATTCGATACTGGTAGGCCCCAAGGGCACAGACTTTCGTAGGTTGATAAAATGCCCTGCCTTACATTCAGAAACCCCTTACGATGAGCTACGCCTAATTGAAGTATCGCCAAATCACGTCGCGACTGGAATCGCTTAGGTATGTTTTCGGTCTTAAGAAGGAGTAGGGAATTTAAATAAGATTCAAGCAGATTGCAACAGACGGTACTTGTCAAATTAGCCCTCCTCACGAATCTTAGCGCTCTTCAACTCGGTAACGTATGAGACTTATCTCAAGAATTTGAGAAAATAATGGATACACTCTTAATTGGAAGTCTTCCAAAAATTATAAATTTTGCCTCAACTGTTTTTACTCCAGAGAATTTGACTCGGTGGTAAGAAAAACAATTTATTTATGCATGTCGGTATCTCATCGAGCCACTGCAATGAACGATCTGACAACGGGGGCGATTCTTTCGAATCTTTCTCGAAGTTTTTATACACCAAATTTATTACGTATGCATAATGTTTTCTTGAGGGCAGATGACTAACCCACGCTAAAAAATCGGTTTCTAAGTGAAACATAGAAGATTTGTCATTAGAACAATACGGCTATAAGGTGGAGGTACACCACTTGACGAAGAAGACTTGTAAGGGTAAAAGAGGTTTTTCTGTAGCAGAGTACAAGTTCAGAATTAGACATCTTGACGCATTTACTTACTGAATGTTGACTGCTTTTTGTTACAATCATCTTCGACCTAGAGAATAAACAATTAATGAACATAGCAAACCGCTAAGTTAACAAATTGTTAGATGAGTTGCGTAACTCACTTTGAATTCTGATGACGGTGCTGTCTCGGAAGCTTCGCTGTCGTAAATGGAATATAGTTGGCCCATTCGACCTACAAACTTCTGAAACTGTTGTAAAAAAATTGAGGGCTTGCGAAAATTGCCTACCTGACCAACTGTCATGCACATTACGGTATGCATGTCGACGGGGTGCGAAATTTGTTCTGCTTCCATGTTCTCCGCTATGACCGATTTGTGGCAGCGAACTCAATGATCGGCAACTTCCTTCACGACTTGATGTGGGTAAAACTTCCATTGAGGATCCGGGTCTGTATGCACAAAGTTTGTCTCAATCTCAGGGTTCCAATTTGATCGGCACATCCGCCTCGTGAGTGCCTCGCGCAGCTGCGCACGTTTCGCTTGAACAGTCAAGCCAGTCTCATCGAACAAAGGTCAGCGCGCGAAACCTCGTGCTGCGGGAGCGTAGCCGCAAGCAAAGTGGGCATTGCCATTGAGACAAAGCGTACAGTATACAGTTGCTTTGATATTATACGTACCCATCAACAATTCTCTCGGTACCAAGGACAGATAGTCGAGCTCTTCGACGGCTTGCTCTTAATAATTGGCGACGATAGAGTGGAATAGCTCCCTGGAATCTTTCTCAACACGCTGAGCAACACAATTTCTTGACCCATAAGCTTCGCACCAAAAATTTGAGAATTCGTGCTCTCTTTGATACAATTTATTTGAATTAGTGAGAGGGAGAAAGAAGAACGAGTAGAAATTCATACATTTTCTAGTAGAGTTAGAGAAATATCTTTGTTGACATAGCGTTGAGATACAGGATGATGAAGAGAAGCCAAATCGTATTTTTGAAAATTCGGACGCATATGCCAGTTGTCTAACGAAATCTAATTCCAGTTTTTCATTAGTTTTATTATCTACTCTTTTAAATCATAAGCACTCATACCAAGTGGATGCCACTAATAGTTAAGACTTTAGAATTTGAGTTTTTTGCTTTCGATTTATTCTGAAAATTTGAAGAAATATGCAAAAATAAATGAAGTACCACGAGCATTGTGAAGAATTTTTTTCATAATGGTACAAGCATCATGGAACAACCTAATAGGCCTAACACTCACTTCTTCGTTCTGTTTACCACTCGTTTTCAAACTATGAGCCATTCGATACTGGCGAGTCAATCTGAACTCCTCAACGACCTAAAAAACATTTCCATGAAGCGAAACCAGATATTGGCATGAAGATCACGTTTTTATTTCACATCTTGGGAACACAAAAGGAACTTTACCTGTTCTAAAGCGATATTTCTGATTGGCAGCTGCGTACCCATTCGGCAAGTTGGACACGAGATATTTTCATTTAGCCAGTGCTGTATACATTTTGCACAGAATGAATGGCCACAGCTGAGCATAGAAGGCTGTAAATTTGTGTTTTAAAGTGCACAGGATGTTTAGAAGTGAAATTATTTTATGGATAAATTGGTTGTACACTTGAAAAAGATTTCACCATATGGAATAATATGAGCAGCAAGAATGAAAAAACACTTTATCGAAAAATTCCTGAATTTTACTGCGTAACAGAGCTGGTATTAGGGATATTGGCTGATTCGAAAAACTGAACTACCTTAGTAAAGATGTTCATACAGATTGAGCAGCAAAAATCTGCAGGTAAGGAAGAAAGGCGACGTAAAGAACGAGAAACGTCATCGTTGATCACATCGTCCTCCTAAACCAAGTCTCATGATTTAGCTGTTTAGAAATTGTGCTTGTAAAAAACTGCAACTGGTTCTTCCTTCACAAAAAATATTCAAGTGCTTACCGAAGAGGAACAGGGTTTTTCAAGTGCTGAAGCTGAACGATGTACCAATGTCACTCCTTGCATTTTTTTCTGAAACAGTTGGGGAAAGGAAAGCCATGAAAAAGCATAAAATTCCTCTAAAAAGATCTCAGTTTTATTTAATGAAACTCAGAGATATAATTTTGAAAATGGATCATTGCCACTGGCACTGAAAGTTCGGATATGACGTGAAGTTGTATATTTTAAACAAATTTATTTCAATCCCTGATTCCAAGAAAAGTTATCAAATGGCACATTTTTTTAGTAATCTACTGAGTTTTTAATAGGGAATGAACATTATCTTGGGGGTTAGAGTGAACCAACAAATCTGTCAACTCATAATGCATTTGGTTCAGAAGGAGCGAAATGAATGAACTTCTAGAAAAAATTGCTCACGTACAATCGTTTTCTTCAAATTTTTCATTGTTTCAACTGATTATTAACATTCAAAAAAGTATTTTTCTTTTCTTCTGTGTATTCGCAATTAAACAATGGTAGTGAAAGCGAATGAGTGTATTTGGGCATCTTATAATGAGGGCATTAGTGCTAAATTTTCGCTAGAAAAGTTCTTGAGATAGGTGAAGCTCTACAAATAAAGTTCGCAATAATTCACTTCAACAATATGATTGGTAATTACACCTGTGCGCAAGAATTTTGCGGCTTGTTGCAAAAAGTTTTCAAAGAACAGGGTACATGTTGCAAGAGCACTAACTGATAAAAAAAGAAAAGCGGTGAAAAGCATGAAGTGGGATAAGACAACGATGCAGAGAACGCTAAAAGTTGCCAATGGTTGTGGCAATATCGACAACCATTCCGAGAGTGATCTCTGCAGTCAGTGATCTACTCTTCTATAATAATTCTTCACAATTAAGAGAACATCTGCTCCTGCGGGAATTTTAGCAGAAAATCGACTAATGGCTGCGCCAGCTTCATAGGAGATATTAAATATCGAATTGGTCCCTGAGTCTTGCATCAACATATTTGAAAACTGTTCAGTAAATTTGCACTAACGTAAATTTAGAAAAAAATCATGCGCTCTCTAATAGTGCTCAAAGGTCTCATGTCCCAGATTCCGAATCCCGCCGCCGGGTTCTTCAAACGGTTATTGGATGGGCGCGCACGGATGGGCGGGCTTTACTGGAGAGGGGTGGTGCCGTCTAGGGATCATCGTGCCTTTTCGCTCCGGAGCAATTTTCTCGCGAAGCGACATTTCAGCCGCGACTTGAGCAGCTTCTCAGACAGTCAAAGGAATACCTCCGGAGGGCAAATGCCGGGGGTCTGCCACTTCATTGCTCCGGAGCTCTCCCATTTCACGCGTTTTGGTGCTCCGGAGCTCCTCAAATCTGGCACACCCCCGGAGCAGATTTGCGAGCACCGGGAAAGGGTCCCATTTTCCCAATTCGCCTTCTTCTGACGTCACCGTGACGTCACAAGACGACGCAAATCTCGCAGACCCCCGGCATTTGCCCTCCAGAAGTATCCTTTAGACTGTCTGAGTTGATAGGGAGTCCTACTGAAGTATGCTGCCAAGAGCTCAGGGCCAACTTAGGGTGGACGATGCCATCAAAGGTTTATGTTGCATATCATGGTGATACAAGAGAAACACTAAAATTTTGAATTTTTGAAGCTAGGCCCTACATAAGGCTAGAAAAAAAGAATCCAATTTTCCCCTTGATTATGGCGTTACAATTTACTATTTTTTTTTTCGTGGGGATACGGGGTGACTGGACGTCTTCACCAATTATGGCGTTGGGGTGGTGCCGTCTAGGGGTCTATGACCAGGGTAAAGCGGAGGACGCGCAGGAGGAACCAAAGGCCTAGCCGGCAGTGTCCGCAGGAGATAATTAGAGGCGCGAGCACTGCGCCGGAGATTTGGCCAGGATCCAAGAAAACTTGGCAGAAATCCATAAATGTTCGTCAGAAAACTTACCTCGTAACTTCGCTGGGGAAAACGCTAGAGAAATAAGTGGGGCAGTTCTGTAATCTGCGTTTTCAGCCGCATTTATAGGAGAAATGAAAGCGGATTTCACTTTTCATTTACATTCAATCTTTGAATATGAATATCCCAGAAAAACATTAGCTACGTCGAAGTACTTACACTCAAGTTTCAAGATTTTTAAGAATTATTGAATGTCAAGAAACCGAAGTCGTCAAATCGTGACGCTGAAAATCGGTCGTAGAAAATTGAAGATTAAGAAATTGTTCACGAAATCTTGCTCGAATTCAAATCATGAACCATCTGAAAACCATAGTGGTAAATCTACAACTTACAGAAAATTTTACGTCAATGTGATGCAAATTCTCAATTTCTGAAAAATTTCCAATTTGGTTCAAACACAATTTTGCAATCATTTAATTTATCAATTCAAGGTTTCATCTTGGACTGCTGACTTTAAGTTTACCTTCCCCTCTAATTTCCAACTTGAATCGTGAAAATTCTTTATGGCGAATTCGAATGACAGTTATTTCATTAAGAGAAGCCATGAAAAGTGGATTTCAAAACTTTTACTCTTATTTCTCGTGCTTTTTCCCAAGCAGAGTTATGAAATACGTTTTCATATGGTCTCCTTCAAGTTTCTTTGCTAAGCTGTTTTGGATCCTTGCCAAATCCTCCCCACAGTGCTTGCGCTCTTAAGTGATCCTGCGGATATGGCGGCAGGGCCTTTGGTTCCTCCTGCTACGCCGCCGGGTAAAGCGTGGGGTTTGGTACTCCACATCTGGGGGGTCGCATAAGCGAGTTCGGCGATAGGGCGAAGGGAGGGGTCCTAATAAGGTGAAGTGGAACGGCAACCACAGCCGTGAATGACTGAGAGGGGCACGGGTTCCCTGAAAGGAATTCACAACATTGTTTGCACAATCAAACACAGTAATATCATTTTTTGTGAGCAAATAAATGGATACCAACAGTAAAATCAAAGGGATATTCGTAAACAACTGTCAAAAGAACTCTATTTGCAATATTGAAGCAAATCTCAGGTATCGATCTGCCACCTATACGTACTCAAATATAAAATAGAAGTCCTATCATGCAAAATATGAATATCCTCGCAGTCAGCAGGTAGGATAAACCCTATGCACGAAGTTTCAGCGAACTCCTATGTTACAGAAGAGTGAATGAGCTTGTATGGAATAGTAATTTTCGAACATGACTAACTTTCTTCAAAGGTAAGCTAACCATCTCTTTCTGCATTCATTACAAAGCATTACTCCTTCTTACAAGGAAATCCCACTTGAACTGACCGCTAAACTATGGAATTAAAAACCACCAAATTTTTGGGTATCAACCAAACCAGATCGGTATAAAACCTCATTTACTTACCTTCAGAGGAATCAAGGGCCTCCCTATTTTATATCATTCCTGTCATTGAACCTTCTTCTCCTCAAAGTAGGAGTTTTCCCGCCAAACCATATCTTCTAGAGAACGATATAGCGGTTTTACCAAATCATATGTCTAGTAGTGTCCTGAGAATGATGGGTTACGGAAAAGTGAGGATAGAGTGCTCTGGATCCATACTTGTCCACTTTCAACGTTCTCAGATGATGGGCACATATGGGAGGGGGAGGAGAGAAGGTGAAGGGGACCGTGCTAAGGTTCCGCCTGGGGGGGGGGGGGTATTAGGCCATCGTGTGCCACATCCTTTGCTCTGTCTGGTTATGACTCGGGTTTTTGACTCGACTCAATTCTGTTCAAAACAAATACTCCAAATGCATAGAGAACAGAGCCTTTGATATAGATCACAAAATATGAATCATATAGGAAACCTTGCTTTTTTCTAGTATTCAAGACCTATGAGCCAACTTTACAGATTGTGTCAAAAGTCTGAAAGCCTAATACTTCTCCCGATAGAATTGTAAGCACTTGAAAACAGAATTGTTGCACACATGATTCAAACAATTACAAATACACTTCAGCTCTCAAATTTTCAATGCTTCTTTTTGGTTCTAACGTAAGCGCTTCAGAATCTTGGCAGTGCAGCTATCGTGGCACGACTTCGTGTAGCATAAGAGCAACTTTTGGCTGCAACACATACCAATAGAATTTTATCGCAGTGCTTGAAAATGTAGTCGTCTTCCTTCCACTATACACCAGGGCTCGACACAGATCGTCTGGAAGCAGGCTGGACTTCGTTTTTTAAAGCAAACAGCAAAGGGAATATCGTTTTTGACGAGTCGGAACCGAGTTCAAGAATAAGCGCCATTCAGTCGAACACAAGCTTTTCGGACAGGTTATCACACAATTGACATGCTCTATCGTGTATGACGAAAATTGCGCGCGATTGAAAGTAAGGCTAACATAAACAAATTGCTTGTTTGCAGCGCACACACAAGCATATGGCACCAAAATTGAACTGTATGTATAGAAAATTATCTGCGAAAGAATTATGTAAAAAGGTTTGAAAACTTCTGTGAAGCAATACCTTTTCCAAAATTAGATCGTTTCCACGGCCACCAGACGATCTGAGATCGTCTGGAGCATATATTTTCGTCACTTCACATAGGTTTTGGATCTTTTTAGCATGGACGAATTCCCCGTTCAAAAATCTATCCCTGAGCATGAAAACATTTTCATATCATTGCCTTTCCTTTGTTTTTTGCCTTCATTTCTTCTGGCTTTGTTAAATATCGCGCTCTGATACCAAAGTCTTGTGCATGCGTAGTATTCACCTCCAATTTGGATTTTAACTCTTATCTTACGTCTTTTCTTTCAGAATAGTAAATGTTTCTTGTTTTCATCTTCTCCTAAGCAGGTAGGTCAAAGGGGACTTCGTAAAACTTCCGAAAGTCAGGAGAGACTTCGTTCTCAGAAATCCTAGAAACCGACTCGTGCCGGGCCCTGCTAGACACCTACTAGACGAATTTAACTTTGAATTAGAGCAAGCCGGTTGCGGCAGTGCGCTGCAAGTCCACCTTTAGTTCGATGTCAAACAGATTTTTTTGTGTATTTCCGACGTTTAATGTCATTTTCTGAATATCAACAGTCTCCTTAATTGTGATAGATTTTGTTGCTTTTGAGGGATGTTTTGTGCTGCCATGCTCGTTTCTTAATCTGTGATTTCAGGAAAGTGTTGGAGAAACGACTAAAATTAAAAACTGTGCTGGTAAAATCTTTTTCCGGTGACTAGCTTTTCAGTGTTACTCCAATGAAACTGTATAATAGAAAATCCCATGTGCATCGCTTTTTCAAGCTTATCTGAAAATAGAGCTAAAGAAAGATCACCAAACATCGCTAAACAACAAGAAACTTCAATTCTATTACAAACGTCATTGAAACAAAGAAATCACCATGTAACGACGAGAAAACATAGGAGAGAACTGCATGCGCTTGAAATGGATTTGATGGTGTCGCGCTGTATGCAACCGGCGTGCTCTAATTCAAATTCGAACTCGTCCACTAGATGTCTTTTGGGGGAAGGACGACTATAAAAATATTGCAACTCTAGCGGAAGATGCGTGCAGGGCCCGGCACGAGTAGGTTTCTAGGATTTCTGAAAACGAAGTCTCCCTGACTTTCGGAAGTTTTACGAAGTCTCTTTTAGCCTACCTACTTGGGTGAAGATGAAAGCAAGAAAGATTTACCAGTTTGAAAGAAAAAACGTGAGATAGGAGTGAAAATTCAAGTTAGAGCCGAATACTACGCATGCACAAGAGTGGCATTGAAGAGCGATATTCAACAATGCGATTTATGGAGAAATTAAGGCAAAAAAAAACAAAGGAAAGGCAATGATACGCAAATGTCTCCATGCTCAGGAATAAATTTTTGACAGGGGGATCCGTCCATGATAGAAAAATTCGAAACTTATGTGAACTGACAAAAATCTATGCTCCAGAAGATCTAAGTTCGTCTGGTGGCCGTCTGGAGACGGACTAAATTTGGAAGGGGTAGTACTTCACATAAGTTTTCAATCTTTTCGCATAATTCTTTTGCAAATAATTTTTTATGTATACAGTTCAGTTTTGATGTTATATGATTCTGTGTGTTCTGTAAATAAACAATTTGTTCATTTTAGCCCTGCTTTCAAATCGCGCGCACTTTTCGACATAGGCGATAAAGCATATCAATCGTGTGATAACCTGTCCGAAAAGCTTGTGTTCGACTAAATGGCGCTTATTTTTGGTGCTCAGCCTCGACTCGTTGAAAACGATATCTCCTTTGCTTTTTGCTCCGGAAACGAAGTCCAGCCTGCTTCCAGACGATCTGTGCCGGGCCCTGGATGCGTGTATGTCGCAAACCAAAAATTTGATACATTTGTGCGAAACGATGCGGAAAATCAACGCATAAGAAGTATTGAAATTGTTCTATCAATGCAAGTTGAGTAGGATGCTTAATATAGAAGATCTATAGAAGAACACAGCCTTGAATTCAGTGACCGCCGCGTTTTTGTAACTTTCAAATTTTATTTAGAAGTAAATGCCTACTAGCACGCAGGTATTTTTATCTGCTTTTTCGAAAATATAGTTTCTGACAAACGTAACCACCACGATGTAGTAACCCAAAGTCTCCTCTACATTTAGTCATTGAACTTTTGCGGAATATTGTTGGTATATCTAGCTATGTATTGAGTAGTAAGCACCATAAATAATAATTACCCTAAAATCCCGCCAATAAGTCCGGCCTTATCTATTTCTTTGACACAAAAAATTAATAAAAAAAATCGCCCTCTGCGCTGCCAGAAGTCTAGCAGATGAATCCTCCCATCAGACCGCAGCAGATCTGCTAGGCTTCTGGCAACGCAGAGGGCGATTTTTTTAATCAATTTTTTGTGTCAAAGAAATAGATAAGGCCGGACTTATTGGCGGGATTTTAGGGTATTTTAATTTGTTCCCACCATAATTTTGGCTTTCTCGCACTAAAAAAGTATTGAGTGATATACCTAGTTTTTACTAAAACATGTGGCAGCCGTTTTGAGCTCGAAAAAGTATATTTTGCAGAGGATAACTGCATCATCATCTTATTAGGTTGTCAAGAAAATAATGTCCGTTTTTATTTGCTTGCTTTAACAAAGCAATCAAACTCAACCCAACAAAGGGTAAGGGGCACTGTTCGATAGAGCAAAGCAAGCTCTATTAGATGGCACTCATGTCTTTGCGCCACGCTCGATCCACGGAGAGTTCGAACTCAAAATCTAAAGATTTCCAAATGCCCAAAAAATCGAAAAAAATCAGATCTTCGTCCAAATAATTTCTACGAACCTCCCACTTGCTCACATCAATACTATCGATATCTGATATCCATATGTGCGATTGCCGTATTTTTTCCTTGACTAGAAACTGAGAAAACGAAAATTTCCCTGATTTTCTCAAAGCAATGCTGAGCCGTTTTTGCATATGTAGTTCTATACTACAAGCCTAGGTAAGTATAACTGTACATTTTCAGCCCATTCCACGCGTTTCGAAAAATAACGAATTCGGATTTTTTCGTTTCAGTTTCAGTGCTAAAATCGACATTTCGCGAAAAGTACCGCTCGAAATAGGCTGAGAACCTACAGTTATGCTCACCTACGCTTGTAGTATAGAACTACATATGCAAAAACGGCTCAGCATTGCTTTGAGAAAATCAGGGAAATTTTCGTTTTCTTAGTTTCTAGTCAAGGAAAAAATACGGCAATCGCACATATGGATATCAGATATCGATAGTATTGATGTGAGCGAGTGGGAGGTTCGTAGAAATTATTTGGACGAAGATCCGATTTTTTTCGATTTTTTGGGCATTTGGAAATCTTTAGATTTTGAGTTCAAACTCTCCGTGGATCGAGCATGGCGCAAAGACATGAGTGCCATCTTGTAGAGCTTGCTTTGCTCTATCGAACAGTACCCCTTATCCTTTGTTGGGCTGAGTTTGGTTGCTTTGTTAAAGCAAGCAAATTAAAACGGACATTATTTTGACAACCTAATACATATAAAGCTGAATGTCTGTTTGTCCGTCTGTCTGTCTGTCTGTATGTCTGTATGTCTGTCTGTACGTATGTTCCGAATAGAAAATTCCATTTCTGAACCGATCCGGACCAAACTTGGCACACATACACTTCGGGCCCCGGCGGGTGTCATAGGCTACTTTTCGTCATCGATCGATATCGATTTTATTGATTTTTATCGATTTTTTTGCAGAAATCACCTACGGGGCTGGGAGTTGGTCAGGGGGTAATCGAGCATGCTGATTACGAATGCAATATTAGTTTTCATAATTATCGATTACTTTTATCGATTTCATCGATTGTTTTTGTAAATTTTGACACGCCGGGCTGGGTGTTTGCATAGGGGGTAATCGAGCATGCTGATTACGAATACAATATTAGTTTTTGAACTTGTCCATTACTTTTATCGATTTTATCGATTTTTTGCAGAGTTTGAGCTCCAAGGCTGGGAGTTGGCACAGGAGGGGTAAGTGGGCATGCTGGTTTCGAAAACAACACAGGGAACGGGAAAAGAAGTGTAGAAGTGGGCACATGGAAAGGCTGTACAGGGATAGGGAGTGTACTACAGTGTTTATTACAGTGTTTTCACAGGGCCGGGCGGAGCCGGGTAAGCAAGCTAGTGTCTTATAAAACTGAA